CAAAGATTATAGGCAATTAGTAGAAAGTCAGGAGCCCCACCAGTCTACACCTCTCCTATCCTGCCATCTGATGCAGCCATACTCAGGTGCCTAGGAAGAAGAAATAAAACATGAAGAGGACCCTTAAAAAGAGCTTCAAAAAAAGGGGTGCCTGGGTGGCTTAGTCAGTGAAGCGGCCGACTCTTGATTTCTGCTCAGGTCATGATCTCAGGGTCCTGGGATCGAGCCCCATCTTGGGCTCCATGCTCAGCGGGGAGTCTGCTGGAGATTCTCTCTCCCCCTGCCCCTCCTCCTGCTCGCGTGCATGCTCTCTCTCAAATAAATTAAAAAAGAGAGAGAGAGAGAGCTTCTAGGTTCAGAGATCCCAGAGACCCCACGGCTAAAGAGCTGGCAAAGACCCCAGCCCCAGCTTTTCAGAGCAACTGGAAGACGCCCCAGCTTCCTCCCCAGCTCTGCTGTACAGAAGTTAATTACTTGTTGCTTCGGTGCTGTCGGAATCATCCTAGGGAAGGAAAAAAAAAAGACAAAAGCACCTGTAGCATCTGCAAAGCGTGGACATTTGTGTTCACAAACTCTTCTCACTCCTTCCTGCTCTCCAAGTTTTCTTTTGTGATTTTCTAAATCACACAACTTCCCGGCAGGCTAACACGGAACCATTAATACTTTGGGAAATAAAATCAACCCCTGGTGCTCAATAAACAACACTGTGTCAAGCATCATTTGGTTTCAGAATTTCAACTCATGCCACTGCTCCGGACAGCTGTAAAGACAGACAAGGGGGCCAGGTCGACTCTAAGATAGAGAAGTAAAGGGGAGATGGGAGGGAGGAAGATCTTGCTGGAGTTTTCTACAGCCTGGAGAAGAACATTCGACCTCCTGTGTCAAATTCAAATTTGGCTGACAGGCACTGAGAACTACTGTGTGCTAGGGACCGTGACAAGAGCTTTCTGGTATCTTATTTTTTTAGGGCTAAAAGGAAACTGAAGGGTTGAAGGGTAGGCTTTACTTACATCCAGGTCATCCATGCCAGGGGGAGGTCTCTTGGTGCTGACCTTCTTCAAAAGCTAGTGGAAAGAGGAAAGTAATTACAAGAGAAAAGAAGGGCAAGGGGAGAGCAACCTGTATATTGATGGGCCATAGGAGAATGGTCCCAGCCAGACAATTGCCCCATCTTTACAGCCCCTAACACATCACTGGAATGAATTGGAGAAAAGTAAATCAATCCCCTTTTCATTTAATTTTATTTCTTTTAAGATTTTATTTTTAAGTAACACCTGATGTGAGGCTCGAACTCACAGCCCTGAGATCAAGCGTTGACACACGTTCCACCGACTGAGCCAGCCAGGCGCCCTGATCCCCTTTTTAAAAGGAAATAGACACACACAGAGCATCCTCCTTACTAATCCAGGTTAGGGTCTGTCAGTGTTTTTGCAACTTGAATAAATAGTAGCTGAAATTCTAAAACCAAATAATGTATGGCAGGGTGCAACTTAATTGGAACTAGTAATTTATGATGTGAATTTTTATACTGCCTGGTTTGAGCTTCCTGTGAAGTTGTGTGGCTCAGGAAACACACACACACACACACACACAGAAAATAGAAAAAAGAACAAGAGTTACAGAAGAGTTGGGAAAGGGTTTGCCAAACTTTCTCAAAATTCTGTAACTAGTGAGTGAAGGCATGTATACGGTTCCACTAGTATACATTTCTCTCATCCTACTAAATAAACATTGCACAGAACATCTAAAGGATATGAGCACCAATGAGGGGAGCTCATATGTGTCTGTCTAGCCTTGATGACAGTCCTCCAGAGAAATGTGTGCAGGGAGACACAGAGAATGAGCAGGAGAGGCAGAAAATGGCATTACCTCTGCGTAATGTTCCACCTGAGCCAGCTCCACCTCTTCATCCCCTTCCCAGTCCCTCCAGTTATCAAAGTCCACAGACAACCACACTGGCTGCAAGAGGAAAACACAGAGCATCACAGGGTAGGAAGCGCAGAAGTGCGCGGAAGAGCATGGCCGCGTGCACAGGGGCATGCGTGGGGAAAAGAAGGTCAATGGGGGTGCAGTCTTCCCAAAAGCACCTCTTTGACTAATTCCTCTCTAGATTGCCATTATCATCAACCACAAAGATTTGCCAGGAACCTACTAAGTGCCAAGCACAATGCCAGGCATTTTGGTAGACAGAAAAGCATAGAAATTCCGCCCTCCAGAAGCTGACTAGAGAGGTAATACCTCTGGAAAGATAACTGTGTCATAAAGTATCGTGGGAGTCACCAAGCAAGACAGACAAGCTGCATTCCCTGGAGTCAGGAGAAAACCCTTGGAATCCTGTTCCAAGTTCCTACACTTAGATAGGAAGTTATTCACTCATTAATTTAATGGCTACTTATTGAAGACAGATTCTGAGCTTGGCATTGGGATTATGAAAATGTTTGATATATAGTCCCAGCTATCACAAAGCAAGTGGGGAAGGGAAATCTAAATAAATTGTTAAAATACAGTGTGAAAGGTATGGTGACGGCTTACGCAGGGGATATTATGGAAACCCAGAAAGAAACTATAGGAACTCAGGCTTTTTAGAGTAGCAGAGACTGAAAAGATGAGCAAAGGTTAGGTGGGCACAGGTAGCAATGATGGAGGCTTTCCAGGAAGAAGGCACAGCTTGAGCAAAGGTAAATTCATGAGAAATAGCCTGGTGTGTGCCAAAGAGCTGCAGGCCATTTGCTGTGGCTGGAATGTGAAGTTTAAGGCCGAAACTAATGGGATCTAATGCTACAGAAGGGAAGAGTAGCCAGGTCATGAGTTTATATGTCATGCTATGGTGCTTGGATTTCAACCCAAAGGGCAGGAAGTGACAAGCTCAAATGCCTGGAAGAGTTAGGGAACTAATTTCATTTAACTAGGATTAAAGTGTGCTGATACACATGCTCCATTTAAAGCTCCATCTCTGGGTGTTTGGGAATTTCTTTCTTTTTTTTTTTTTAAGTAATCTCTGCATATGGGGCTTGAACTCACAGCCCTGAGATCAAGAGTCGCATGTTCCACCGACTGAGCCAGCCAGGCGCCCCTGGCATTTGAGAATTTAGACCAGTGTGATCAGAGTCTCCATTTTCTAAGAAAAACTGATAATCTGGAGTTTTATGTGAAATCTCCATATTTTTATAGGTCAGCAACTAATGAAAACTAAATGTCAATAACCAATCAAAATAATTTGTAAATACTGTAAAGACTACAAAAACAAATTCAAGAGCCAGATCAGCCAGGAGATAGCCAATTTTCAACTTTTAGCAAGGAAGAAGCCACTGGAGGGTCTTAGGTGGAAAGGTACAGGGTCAAATGGGTGTTTTAGACAGACCATGCTGGGAGCAATGCAAAGGATGGACTGAGGGTAGGTCTAAAAATATGTAATAAACGTCACCCAGTGATGGATGAGGCCTGAATTGGGAAAAGATGAAATAATAGATTCAAGAATATTTAGAAAGTCAAATGGGACTTTGTGAAGGATTGAATGTTGGTGAGAAAGGAGCCAAGGGTGATTCCCTGACTTATGTCCCCAGGTGCAGACATAGCACAGGAGAGACAGCAGACCATTCCCCCACACACCTACCTTGATATCCTCTTTAGTGAGTCGGGGCCAGGCTACCTTCTCCTTCCATTTCCTCACAAAGCAAGTAATGGAGCGACCAGAGCGCTTATCCTGGGAGTCCTGCCGGATAGAGAGCCTCATTCTTAGGATGTGAGGTTTAGAATGAATCTCCAATTTTCCAGGCAGCCTTCCCATCCAGACCTTACTGTCCCACCCCACAGTTACCTTGGAGTTCACCTTAGCATAGAATTCTATCTCATTGTACAACTCCACTCCATCGGCATTCTTGCAGCTGAGGAGACAACGGAGCTGAGGAAATGCGGGAGGCTGAGCATGGGGGCATTAGAAGGCAAAGGTTCCTGGAAACCAGGACCTTCAGAGAGGAGGGCCGTTACCTGAACACAATACGGTGGTCTTCGATGAGCACATGGACATCAGTGCTGTCCTCAACACAAAACTCCATGAACACGTACTTGGGCCTGTCGTACCATAGCGTCCGGGCATGCTGCCTGCAGAGGAGTTGCAGTGGGGCTTCATAGGGGTGGGAGAGGGAAGACTGAGGGCATTTGGGAAAGGTGGAAGGAAGGGAAAATTTAGGGACGTTTTATGCTACGGCTCTGTCAAAGTGGAGCTAAATGAGACAGAAGGGGGTGAAAGAGAAGTGATGGCAGCGGGGGTGTGTGGTGAGGTGAGGGCGAACCTGGGGAGAATCCAGAGTGCGAGAGTTGAGAGGGAGGGGGTTATGGAGAACATTCCTCACCACCCCAAATTTACAGAGACCTGAACTCTGGAGTTTCCATGGGAACTCGCAGGAGCGCCCAGAAAATGTGGAACAAGGAATCTCCAAGGAAAAGGGCGGCCGGAAACACTCACCTTGCCATGGCGGCTCCCCGCGACCCAGTGGCATTTGGACTCCGAGCCAGGGACTGCTATCTTTAGATCCTGGGGACGCCCCCAGCAGCTGCCTCTCCTTATATGGTCGGGGAAGGCTTTAGAGGAAGGGGGAACGTGGCCCCCACAGCCAAGGGATCTGCACTCCGGAGAGACTCTGAAAGAGCATAATCCCGACAGCCCTTCACGTCGCAGTGTCTCCAGAAATGTACAGATTAGGAATAGACGACCCACCCGCGGGGAACCAGGACAAGGTCCACACTAGATGCACAACGAATGACTTGTCCCTGGCTTCATTCATCCGTTTCCCCAACGCTTAGTGCATTCAGTGCCTGATTCACAGTAGGCGCTCAATAAAAAATTATTGGCCCGAATTAAATCCCCTGGGAAGGCCCGCCCCGCGTGACTGTGAACTGTTTGTCGTATAAGCCCCGCCCACCCGCTCCTTCGGGTTTCCCGAACCGCGCGCCGTTGCCATGGCAGTGAGGGGGCGCGGCTGACGTGCGGCGGCGTTTCCGGGAAGATGGCGGCTGTCGAAGCGGCTGCGGAGCCGGTAACGGTGGTGGCAGCTGTTGGTCCAAAGGCGAAGGACGAAGAGGAGGAGGAAGAGGAGTCGCTGCCACCGTGCGAGGCGGTGCGCTGGGCCCCGGTGGGGGCAGTGGCGGAGGCCGGGCCTGGGACGGCCGCGTTCTCGGAAGAGGCGGCGGCCGAGGAGCCCGGCGCGGCCCCGGGCTCCCCTCCGGACTCGCCTGGCCGGACGCTGAGGCGGCTGCGGGCCGAGCGGCGGCGGCTGGACTCGGCGCTGCTCGCGCTGTCCTCGCACTTCGCACAAGTGCAGTTCCGCCTGCGCCAGGTGGTGCGCGGAGCGCCCGCGGAGCAGCAGCGCCTCCTGCGCGAGCTCGAGGACTTCGCGTTCCGCGGCTGCCCGCACGTCCTGGGTTACGGGGGGCCCGAGGACCCCGCCAGCGACGATGGCGACGGGCTGCCAGGGGACCGGCCACGATTGCAGGGCGAGAACCAGGTGAGCAGCTGGGGCCGGGTCCCGAAGGACATGGGAATAGGGGGTTGGGTGGGTGGCGATGCTGACCGGGACGGAGGTAGCAGTGGTAAGAAGCCGGCGGATCTGGGTGAGTACTACACGCGTCCGAGACGAGGAGGTGAGACAGGTGTGCCAGTCCTGCTGAAGGGCAGGAGGACAGAGAGGCCTGGGAACCTGATGGTGAGGGGTGTCTATCTAAAGTGTGGAAAGAGATGCAGGTGTGGTGACGTGCGGGACAGAAGAGTGGTGAGCAGAGTGTTCAGAGGGGAACAGCAACCAACCAAAGCAATGTTGCTCCCGCTCACCTTGCCGCTGTCTCATAATGTAACTAAGACCCGAGGACATTTGCTGATAAGTCCCCCGACCTGGCGTTGAGAACATTGGCTAATGAAGCGTAAGTGATTTGGAATCCATGGAAACTTAGATTTACTGCCTGTACCTGCCTTCCTGGAATCTAGGAAACGTCTTTAATATTTAGACTTTCGTGTGGGTGGGAGCTTTGGTGAACGGCAGGATCACTTAGTAATTGAAAGAAATACAACTCCTGATTATATGCATTTCCTAAAGCTGATATTTTAAACCTCCTTGCCCATCCTGCCCAATAACTAGATATTATAAATGAAGCCCCTTTACTGTGACAAGATGCATTCAGTTAGCCTCCAGCGAGTAATGAGAGTCTGTATGCCATGCCAAGAGAACATATCCTTGCAGTCTTTGACTCTCTGGAAGTGCACAGTTGCAGATAGCTTGTTGGAGGTGTTGAAGAGACTTGCTGTCTTCTCCACCTTTTCATTCTTCAAGTTACAACCCATTTATGCCTTTCTTCCCACTTAAATTGGTTTTAACCAAGAAGACTTATCAGTAGCAGATATTGACTTGCTCATTTTAATCCGGAATGTTTCCAGTGCAATCCTGTGTTTACTGTTCCACCCTTCTCTCCACATACAGTTTTTCCCCATTCTTTCTCCTTGCGCTGGCTAGACAGCTTCTTCTAGTCAGAGCTCATTATTCGGAATGTGTTGTTTTGTACCTGTTTTAGTTCAGTAGCCTACAGCAAATGTGTTTTGAGAGCTTACCCTGTGCCAGACATGGTGCTAGGCATTGGGGGTACAAAGTCAAAGCGTTTGCCCTAAAGGAGTTCATTGACTGAGGGACAGAATCCTCAACAAAGAACTGCCATGCGGCCTGAGCTAGAGGAGAAGTGTGTACACAATACAGATCGAGAAACGGTTAGCTTTGCCTAGGGAGATCTAGGAAACCTGAAGGATAGTTAGGCCCTCCCACAGTAGGTTTCTAAGAAACCACAACACTCAGGGTTGGAGAGGAAGTATCCCGAGAAAAGGCTTGCTTTCATGTTGAGTAAGGCTAAAGCAAGAGGATTGCTTTTTAAATAGCTTGAACAAAATGTTAATTTGTTGTTTTTCATTTATTCTCTCTCATATCTTCTGGAGGGCTTGGTAAGTACCACTTGAAAGTTAAAGTTAATATTCTATAGATTGCTGGTTTAAAATGCAGCCTTACACCTGCACATGACGTGCTAGTTTTGCTTTTTGTTTCTGGCACTCAAGAAAGTTAAGGAAGAACTAGTATTTGAGAATACATTGGCAAGACTTTACCACCCTGAAGAGTTTTTAATCATTTAAATGCAGAAACTAGCTGATGGCCAACAGTGGAGAAAGGAGTCACTGGTGGGGGAAGCTTACCAGAGGTTTTTTTTGTTTTTTGTTTTTTTTAAGATTTTATTTATTTATTTATTTGACAGAGAGAGACACAGCGAGAGAGGGAACACAAGCAGGGGGAGTGGGGGAGGGAGAAGCAGGCTTCCTGCCAAGCAGGGAGCCCGACGCGGGGCTCGATCCCAGGACCCTGGGACCATGACCTGAGCTGAAGGCAGACGCTTTGACTGAGCTACCCAGGTGCGCCCCCCCCCCCTTTTTTTTTAACATGGTGACCTTCCCACTCCTATTACTTGGCTTTTGGGTTTTTTGGTGTTTTTTTTTTTTTTTTTTCCACTGCCCCAGGCATCTGCTTTAATTCTTTTGATTTTGCAGAAGTCTGTAATACATTGGAGCAGTTTTGAACCTTAAGAAAACTGGTTATGAGTTATAAATCCTTTCTCTACACCCTTATCTCTAGATTCTCTTGCAAAATTTGGCTGCAGAAAGTATTCAGGAGTTGATCTGTGGTAATTGGCTGTGGAGGATGGCATGTTTAGTTCCTGGGAGGCTGTCTTGGCTAAGATAAGTTGTCTCAATCCTAACTAGACCTTTGTGGGGGGGGGAGCGATCTTAACAAAAGGCTCCATTGTATTCATATTCTATTTCCAATAAGGGACAAATACCTTCTTAAAGAAAACACATTTAATAAATTGCCCTGGATGAAATCTTTATTCTCATTTTTGAACCTAGCTTATGAATTCTGTATTTCATTGGGATTATTTGAAAACATTTTATGTTTCACTAGTCATTATTAGCTTGAGAGGCTTCCTATTGTGCCCTGATTTTTCCTTTTCCTGTGAAACAGACCTAAGTATTTTCTTGTCTTAGAGTGAACAGGAAAAACGGGAACGTCTGGAAGCCCAAAGGGAGAAGCAGAAGGAACTTATACTACAGCTCAAAACCCAGCTAGATGACCTGGAAACGTTTGCTTATCAAGAGGGTAATTACGACTCCCTGCCGCAGTCCGTGGTCTTGGAAAGACAGCGGGTGAGCAGAGACTAGAGGCTCCTCCACCTCTACCTAGGGTTACCTTGTTCCTGCTGGAGTTCACAGGACGTTCTTTCTCCGCGTGTTCGCCCTTGGCCTTACTGAGAATCCCTTTGCTGGCCCATATCAAAGAGAAACGGACATGTCTTTATTCACACATGGAAACGCAAGTTCCAAAGCCTTTGAGCTCTTTCTTTCCGTGGTTATTAGTAATAATAACATATTATAATAATAGTAATTTTTCATTTGATCGTTAAAACAGTTCTGTTTAGACACATCCTACAATGTAAATCGGCTCTTTTCCCCACCACCAGTTGATAAATATTCCAGGAATCCAGACTGGCTTTAACGCCATATTTATTTAAGCAACACCTGGGTAGACAGGTAACCTGCTGGCAAAATACAGCTACAGTCTCCCCTATGAACATGTTCGTCTCTCACTGTGATGTGGCTGTTTCTCTGACTGAGCTGGAGTTACATTATCTGGATTGCAAACTGTTCCAGATATTGTCACTAGGGTATTTTGACTGTAACACACTTTGATGTTTAGCAGAGGTTTTTGTTTAGTTGCCTAGAGTGGGGCAAGAAGGGAGAAAGAGAACTAGACACTAAGGGAAGTCAGCATTTGTTCTCGTGGAGGCGTTGGGGGAAGCTAACTAAGGGGCTTTTGGGATCATCAGCCACTTTGGATTATTCATACTGTTGTTCTCCTGAAAGCTGCCTGGCCTCGTAGAAAATTTGCAGTTGAGAGGAGCCATTTCTGTCCGAGAGGAACCAAGGGCCCTTGTTACTGTGGGAGAAAGTAGCTCTGTACTCTCACCTTGATCAGCAGTTGCATCGTTTTCTCTCACAAATTTGGGAGGTCTATCTGTCTTTGATTTTCATTTAAAGGTACATACTAGCAAATATTCTCCTTCTTCCTAACCTTCTCCCTGAAAATTCCAAAGGGTGTGCTCATTGTTTGTGGTCTTGATAGGTGATCATAGATGAATTAATAAAGAAACTGGACATGAATCTGAATGAGGACATCAGTTCACTGTCCACCGAGGAGCTCCGGCAGCGTGTGGATGCAGCTGTGGCTCAGATTGTCAACCCAGCCCGAGTGAAAGAACAGTTGGTTGAACAGTTGAAAACTCAGATCCGAGACCTCGAGATGTTCATCAACTTCATCCAAGGTCAGAGGAGGGCATGGGAAGAGAAGCATGAACAGATGTCATAATAATTATATGCAGGGGCACCTGGATGGCTCAGTCAGTTAAGAGTCTGCCTTCGGCTCAGGTCATGATACCAGTCCTGGGATCGAGCCCCACATCGGGCTCCCTGCTCAGCGGGGAGTCTGCTTCTCCCTCTCCCACTGTGCACGTGCACGTGCGTGCTCGCTCTCTCTCAAATAAATAAATAAAACCTTTAAAAAATAATAATTATATGTAATCTGAGTACTGGTACCTAAAGGTACCAGTTCTTGATATACTATGTAGGAAGTTTGATCACTCAGTAAGGGAGCCAGCATGGTAGAATGGAAAGAACAGGGATTTTATTTTATTTTATTTTATTTATTTATTTTTTTTAAAGATTTTATTTATTTATTTGAGAGAGAGAGAATGAGAGATAGCACGAGAGGGAAGAGGGTCAGAGGGAGAAGCAGACTCCCTGCTGAGCAGAGAGCCCGATGTGGGACTCGATCCCGGGACTCCAGGATCATGACCTGAGCCGAAGGCAGTCGCTTAACCAACTGAGCCACCCAGGCGCCCTTATTTTATTTTTTTAAAGATTTTATTTTTAGGGACGCCTGGGTGGCTCAGTCGGTTAAGTGTCTGCCTTCGGCTCGGGTCATGATCCCAGTGCCCTGGGATCGAGTCCCGCATCAGGCTCCTTGCTCAGCAGGGAGCCTGCTTCTCCCTCTGCCTGCAGCTCCCCCTGCTTGTACCCTTGCTCACTCTCTCTCTCGCTCACGCTCTCTCTGTCTCTAACAAATAAATAAAATCTTAAAAAAAAAAAGATTTTATTTTTAGGGGCACTTGGGTGGCTCAGTTGGTTAAGCACCTGCCTTGGGCTCAGGTCATGATCCCAGGGTCCTGGGATCGAGCCCACATTGGGCTCCCTGTTCAGCGGGAAGTCTGCTTCTCCCTCTCCCACTCCCCTTGCTTGTGTTCCTGCTCTCATTATCTCTCTGTCAAATAAATAAATAAAATCTTAAAAAAAAAAAAAAGATTTTATTTTTAAGTAATCTCTATACCCAATGTAGGGTTCGAACTCACAACTCCAAGATCAAGAGCCACACGCTCCACTGACTGAGCCAGCCAGGTGCCCCAAAAACATGGATTTTTTTTTTTTTTAAGATTTTATTTATTTGACAGAGAGAGAACATAAGCAGGGGGAGTGGCAGGCAGAGAGAGGGAAAAGCAGGCCCCCTGTGGAGCAGGGGCTCAATCCCAGGATCCCAGGATCACAACCCAAGCCGAAGGCAGACACTTCACTGACTGAGCCACCTAGGCACCCCAAAAGCATGGATTTTAGAGCCAGATAGTTCAGATCCCAGTTCTGCCACTTCCTGGCCTTAGGTCCTTGGGCAGGTTCCTAACTTCTTTAGCCTCACTGTCCTCACCCATGAAAGGATGATTCATGCTTCCCTCATTGAGCAAATATGTATTGAGCCAGTCACTATTCCACACAAATAAGGTGATATTTGTAAAAGTCTTATCATGTGGGAGGCACTAGGAAATATTCTTTTTCCTCCGCTTTGTAACTGCTGACTACAGATGAAGTGGGAAGCCCGTTGCAGGTAGACAGCGCGCACTGTGAGTGCAAGGCCAGTGGGAAGACAGGAAGTGGCTCCACGAGAATGGGCAGCAGCCGACTGCCTCCAGGAAACAGCAAGAGTAAGTACGGCTTCAAGAATAGGCCAGTCTAGACAGATAAGTAGATTAGTGGTTGCCTAGCGCTTACGGGGTTGGGGAGAATGGGAATGGGAGATGCTAACAGTACAAGGTTTCTTTTTGGGACGATGGGTGCACAACTCTGTAAATATACTAAAAGTCACTGATTTATACACCTAAATGGGTGATTTATTTGGCATGTGATTTATATCTCAGTATAGCTATTATTAACCCAAAACAGTTAAGTCCAGCAACCTCCTATCCTAGGTGGCTCTTGGCTTCATGTGGGACCCATACTGTAGCTCAGAAGCAAGACTAGATCTCAGCTAGTGACTAGTTGAATGTACCTCTGTGCCTTTATGGCCCTCACTGATGAGCCATTGCATTTTCTAAACAGCAAAGGCAGAAGACATGAAGAAGGTTCAGGAGACGGGGCTGCACCTCATGCGGCGCGCGCTGGCAGTGCTCCAGATCTTTGCTGCTAGCCAGTTTGGTTGCACCACGGGCCAGATCCCACAAACCCTGTGGCAGAGGGGCCAGGCTGACAGGGACTACTCCCCCTTACTGAAGAGGCTGGAGATCTCAGTAGACAGAGTGAAGCAGCTAGCCTTGAGGCACCAGCCACACAACCACATTATCACCTCTGCCAGCCTCCAGGACCTGTCTCTGGGAGGCAAGGACGAGCTGACCATGGCTGTGCGGAAGGAGCTGACTGTGGCCGTCAGGGACCTGCTGGCCCATGGACTCTACGCCTCCTCACCAGGGATGAGCCTGGTCATGGCCCCCATCGCTTGTTTGCTGCCAGCCTTCTCCTCCGCCCCTGAGACCATGCACCCATGGGAACTCTTTGTAAAGTACTACCATGCTAAGAACGGCCGTGCTTATGTGGAATCCCCCGCCCGGAAACTCTCCCAGTCCTTTGCCCTGCCAGTTATGGGAGGCACCGTTGTGACCCCCAAGCAGAGCCTTCTGACAGCCATCCATGTGGTGCTGACGGAGCACGACCCCTTTAAACGCAGTGCAGACTCAGAGTTGAAAGCCTTGGTGTGCATGGCCCTGAACGAGCAGCGTCTTGTGTCCTGGGTGAACCTAATCTGCAAGTCGGGGTCACTCATCGAGCCCCACTACCAGCCCTGGAGCTACATGGCGCACACAGGCTTTGAGAGCGCCCTCAACCTGCTCAGTCGCCTCAGCAGCCTCAAGTTCAGCCTCCCTGTGGACCTGGCCGTGCGCCAGCTCAAGAACATCAAAGATGCCTTTTGATGAGAGTGCCAGGCCCTACACCACCACCTTCCTCAGTAGAGTAGGGGTAGATGGTTAGTCTTCTAGGGTAGAAACAAAGAGGAGGAGGAGGGGTTAAAGACGGTCTCCCTAGCCAAATGACTGCAAAGTCTGTTTTCCCCGCCAAATTAGCATCTCAGAGATGCTGGAGACCCTCTCATTCCAAGGTTCTGCCCTGGTGTGTAACATGTGGGCACACATATTTGAGCCGATGTAAAAGAAATCAGCTCTGGCACACAGTTAATGAACCACCTCATCGTGCCACGTCTGCTTTCTCCAAAACCCAGATTGCTCTAACCATTCTCTTTATGGTGGTGAGTGACATGAGTGAATCGTTGGTCCTGGAAGACATTCAGCTTGAGGCTCCTGTCAGTCAAGCTGGGAGGCGTATTCCTTCGCTTGGAGCATGTTCGAGAGTCATTGGGCCAGAATTTGAATTCCCTTACGAATGCTGACACCCCTTTCTTCCTGACCCCAGGTCAGGGGAGGCTGTGTGTGTTCCACAGTTGCTTCTAAAACTAGGAATGGGAATATTGGAGAACAGCATTTCTGAGGGAGTTCACCACAAGTTGATTTCAATGTGAGCCCTTTTTTGTGGGTAAGAACTGAGATCTGTTCCTGACAAGGTGGCCCACTTCTCACGGCACAGATGGCGGTCTCTTGGATTTAGAGCTGGTTAGTTATGAGGAATGGCAGCCACTGTCGGTACCACATCCTCTGGCAAATAACCTTTCCTGGGCACACCTCCCAGCAAGGCGCTGACACAGTCTTTTTGAAAGTACATACGCCAGAGGTGTACTCCTCGGGAGAACCCTTGCCACCCAAGTCAAGTGTGAATGGGAATACGCCTTAGTGATCAGCAGCAACTCCTCCCAAGGTTGGGATTCCACTTGTCCTGGAGGCTGGATGATGGAGGGGGTCTGATCACACAGTAGGGACTACAGAGGGGGTTGGGACTACAGTAGATCACCACTGACAGACAGGGACTGAGCATTTCCTTGTAAAACTGACTCTAGAGTGATCCTGTTTGGTCTTCAGTATTTTAGCCTTTTTAGTTCGTATTTATCATTCAGCTTGCATACTGCTCCAGGACTGACCAAAGATGGGCAAAGTGTATCTTACCACTTTCTGGAAAACCAGATGCGATCTGCATACCGCTGATCCGGCATTGTTTCCTGTATTAAATTACCAGCTGCACTTGTGTCTGCACTATTGCGTAGTGCACGTTAACTTAATTTTTTTCAGTGACATGTTATTTAAGATGTATTACTGATAATTCATTAGAATTAGTCCCCCTTCTATGTGAAACAGGATAAGTGTAAAATGTGGAAAATGATATATCTGTGGTTGCTAATAAAAATCATAGTATTTTATATAGCTTCTCTACAAAGACCTTAGAGAGACTCGTGGCTTTGGTTTATAAGTCTGTCTGCGCATTATTAGCCCATCTGATCCAGATCGGTATTTCCTTGGGCAATGTCTGGCTCTTGGCCTTTCTGTCTCTTCTTGGCCCCCCACCCTGGATCAGCTCAGCTTTGGTGGTGTTTTCTTTCCCCCAGACATTACCCTGCCATCTCACCCAGGCCTACGGCCCCATTCCCACAGTACAGCTCCCCATACGTGCCACTTTGGGAGCTGGCCCTTTTATTTTTAAAGATTGATTCATTTATGTATTAGAGAGCGCACAGGGGTGAGGGGCAGTGGGAGAGGGAAAAAGAGTCTCCAGCAGACTCCACGCTGAGCACAGAGCCTGACGGGGGGCTCAGTCTCACAACCCTGAGATCACGACCCAAGCTGAAACCAAGAGTCGGACACCCAACCAAATGAACCACCCAGGTGCCCCTGGAGCTGGCACTTTTAAGTCCATTTGTCTAGATATCATGAAGGTGGATGATAACTGCCATAACTATATGGCACAGCCCTGGATCACCCCAGTATTATCCTTTTCTAATCCTCACAGACTAATTTGTATCAAGGTTTTGTGCTAGCATCAATGGGAAGCATTTTTAAGTCATCCTAATTTTTTTAAAATTATTTTAAAGAGAGAGAGCAAGTACTAGTGGGGGGGTGGGCAGAGGGAGAAGGAGAGAAGCAGACTCCCTGATGAGCAGGGAGCCCAACATGGGGCTCAATCCCAAGACCCTGAGATCATGACCCAAGCTGAAACCAAGAGTCAGACGCTTAACCGACTGAGCCACCCAGGCACCCCATAAGTCATTCTAATATAATTCTCACTATTTGTAAGGCAGGACAATATTCTCCCAATTCTATAGCTGAGTAAACTGAAGTTAAACATCTTGTCCAGGTTTATGTAATGAAGAGGTGAGATTTGAACTCAAGTTGCCTGAATCCAAATCCTATGGTCTTTATATTCTGTCATGTTATCTCATTGTATCGTGCTGCTTCCAGATCTTTTGTTCCTCTCTCTCCTTTATCCACAACCTTGTTCCACCATCACTTTGGGAAAGAGAAGGTATTTCCCACATACCCACCAGAAATTTATGCTGCCAACAGACTAGGCCACAAGGACATGGGCAGACAGCTGCTGCTCTACCAAGTTCTTCATGAAACGTAAAGGCAATGCGTAGAGACAGCAAGCCCGCCAGCATCCCATAGTCAGATACCTGGTAGTCACTAATATCATCTGCATTATTATTACTTAAGACAGTAAGGCTTGGGGTGAGGCACACAGGACAAGGGAGGAGAGAAGGAAACAACCTAGGTCTAAGAATATGCAAGAACAGAATGAAAAAGAACCATAGATATGTATCCATAAAAGTGCAGCCTCCATGGGGCGCCTGGGTGGCTCAGTTGGTTAAGCGGCTGCCTTCGGCTCAGGTCATAATCCCAGGGTCCTGGGATCGAGCCCTGCATCGGGCTCCCTGCTTGGCGGGGAGCCTGCTTCTCCCTCTCCCTCTGCCTGCCTCTCTGCCTACTTGTTCTCTCTCTGTATCTCTCTGCCAAATAAATAAATAAATAAAATCTTAAAAAAAAAAAAAGTGTAGCCTCCATTGTTATAAAAGTATGACCTGCAAAGCATTCTTGAAGATTTCTAAGATGGGGACACCTGGCTGGCTCAGTTGGTAGACCAAGCGATTCTTGGTCTCGGGGTTGTAAATTCAAGCCCCACATTGGGTGTAGAGATTATTTAAAATCTTAAAAAAAAAAAAGTTTCCTAACGTGTTCTGCATTCATTCATTCTTGAATGCCTGCCAATTGCCTGGGCCAGGTTGGATACTAAGGAAAGAGATCAACAAAACATACCCCTTTTCCTCAAGGAAGACACAGTCTAACTAAGGAGATACCAAACCAACTGGAGATTTGCGTAGCTTGTTAAAAATCGCTGGGTCCCATCTCAGAGATTTTTATTCAGTAGTTCTGGGGTGAGGCCTGAAAATTTGCAATCCTAACAAGTTCCCAGGTTATGCTGATGCAGCTGGTCTGGGGACCACACTTTGAGAACCACTGATCCAAACCAAATATGTTCTTTTTTTTTTTTTAAGATTTTATTTATTTATTTGAGAGAGTGTGTGCACAACTTAGGGGGGTGGGGTGCAGAGGGAGAGGAAGAAAGAATCCCAAACAGACTCCAGGCTGATGCAGGGCTTGATCTCACAACCCCAAGATTATGACCCGAGCTGAAATCAAGAGTCAGACGCCCAACCGACTGAGCCACCCAGGCGCCCACAAACCAAATACATTCTATAATAAAGATGAATATGGATTGGATTGCTGAGGGAGCACAGCAGGAAGAGATTGATTCTGCCCAGTAGAACTCTGGATAGGATTTGGATAGGTTTTTGCCTGGCTGCAGTGGAGGAGAATAAAGACACATGGAACCACCTGTCCATCTGGATAGGATTTGGATAGGTTTTTGCCTGGCTGCAGTGGAGGAGAATAAAGACACATGGAACCAGCTGAACCTCCTCCACCACCAGTGGAGGAGCATAAAGACACATGGAACACAGGGCTCAGAAGAGGTAGGATATTTGAGGAGTTGGGGGATGGGGAGGGCAGTATGTGAGGGTGTGGAGAAGGAATTCAGGCTGTAGGAAAGGAGAGGTGAGTTCAAACTTTGGTATAGAGAGCCAACGAAGGATTTCAAGCACATAAATGGTGGATTTAAGAGTTGTGTTGAGGGAAGCTTCCCAAAATAAGCTCTATAGGTCATATGGCTCCACTCCAGACTGGGATTGTTATCTCCTAGGTTGGAAATCCATCTTTCATAAGCATAGCAAGTTTGAGGAGGAGAAGAAAAAGATCTGGATCGATTAGGGGGCAAGTGGAAAAGGACAGAAAAGATTTAAAACCCAAGGAAAAATTCACAGGATTTAGTACTAATTTGATTTGGAGAGTGTTTGTGAGAAGAGTCTAAGGCAATTACAAGATTTGAGGATCTGGTTTATATTTTCCAAGAGAGATACAGCAAAAGAGGCAGCAGCAGATAAGAAGGCTGGGAGCAGAGCACAGAGGTGGAAATGGGCAGGTTGGCATGGTGTAGTGGGAAGAGCACTGGGTTGGGAATGAGAACTTACTCTTCTTCACCATCTTTGTGACTTCGCTGCTCTGGAACTGTCCTCTCAGAGGCCAGGGTAGATGATCTCTGAGGTCCCTTCCAATTCTAAAATGTCATATTCCAAATTAAAACAAAAGATTTTTTTAAAGATTTTATTTATTTATTTGACAGAGACACAGCAAGAGAGGGAACACAAGCCGGGGGAGTGGGAGAGGGAGAAGCAGGCTTCCCACTGAGCAGGGAGCCCCATGCGGGGCTGGATCCCAGGACCCTGGGATCATGACCTGAGCCGAAGGCAGATGCTTAACAACTGAGCCATCCAGGTGCCCCAAAACAAAAGATTTTAATTGAAAAGAAATATAAGTACATAATTACTGTGATAAACCATTGGAATGGGGTTGTGAAGGTGCAGGGAAAATTGGTCCCTGGAGAGCCTTAAGAGAATCGATGAAACCCTGATTGTTCCCACATCTTGCCCAAGACCAATCCTGGGCGGCTGGGTGGCTCAGTTGGTTAAGCGACTGCCTTAGGCTCAGGTCATGATCCTGGAGTCCTAGGATCGAGTCCCACATCAGGCTCCCTGCTCGGCAGGGAGTCTGCTCTCCCTCTGACCCTCTTCCCTCTCGTGCTCTCTGTCTCTCATTCTCTCTTTCTCAAATAAATAAATAAAATCTTAAAAAAAAAGACCAATCCTGTAGATTCTTCAATGTTCAGATAAGCAAAAACTGTAAGATGGTTTCCTTTCTCTTGAACTCAGAAGACAACTAAAGAACCATCTAAAAACACTCTTCCAGGTATGCCTGGCTGGTTCAGTAGGTAGAGCATGTGA